GTTTTTAATATCCCCTCAGGCTTCACAATCTGAATTTGATAATGAGATAATAATGTGAGTTTGATAATCAGAATGACTTGTAAAATTCAGTGAAAGCACTGAACCTATGATTGATTACAGGTTAATCTCAGCAAAAAGATATGTTAGAAGAGCCAAAGGGAGAGGTGTATAGGGTACAATCCAGGAGGCTTTCATTGTCTTCTGTTCATGGAGTCAGAACCTGTTTTGTAGTAGCATATTAGCATGTGGTGGCAGTTCAGAATATTGTCAGTTAGTCATGGGTAGTATCGAAGTTTGTACCCAAAGTTTTTATTGATAGACTTCATTGAGTAGGCATGAGTAATTGGATCATTAGCCATGTAATTTAACTCAATAATCCAGCTTCTCTCCCTCTTCAGAGGGAGAGCTTAAAAGCCCCAACTTTCTTACCCCAACTTTCTGGTAGCCAGCTAGATCCTAGTCTAGTCTCGCTAACATAAAATATCCAGGAGCCCATTATAAATAACAAAGACACTGCCATCACTTAGAAATTCTTAACCAACTGCCATTGAATTAATTCTGATTCACGAGACCATATAGGACCGAGTAGAACTGCTCCCTAGGGTTCGTTCAGAAGGCTCTAAATCCTATGGGAGGAGATCGCTTCATCTTTCTCTCATAGAGCTGCTTGAACTGCTGACCTTGTGGTTAGGAGACCAAGTTGCATAACTCTATATGCCACATAATGATCATGCAGTTGATTCTTACATATAGTGAATCTATAGCACACATTAAAACTGCCCGTATGGATTACATGAGTGGCAGATGATTTTGAATTGCTAACCTTGTGGTTAGCAGCCAAACATGTAACCTAGAACCCATCATGCTGCCAGTTTTTAGTATGCCATAAGACTTCTTTATCTAATCCAGAGAGAATATTAATTTGGATTATTCGGTAGTACGACTGAGAAGAGATGAGACCTTAATTTGATTCTATTTAAGACACACAAATCATTTTATTGTGAAACATAAATGGAAATATGTAAAATAATTGAACATCTATATAACCATCAATAAGGTCAAGAAATTAATAGTTGTCAGGACCTAAAAACTTCCTCAAGAAGGGTGAATGCTCCAATCATAACTCTCTTCCTTTCCTGTCATCACTTCCCTCACCAATTGGGAATCATGTCATTTATTCCCACTCATTGTCATTTTTCCCCACTGCCATTGAATTGATTCCAACTCATAGTGTGTGACCCCAAAGGGCAGATTAGACCTGCCCTTTAGGATGTCCAAGATTGTAAGTCTTTACAGCAAACAGCCACCTGTTTTTCCCACAGCGAAACTGGTGAGTTTGAACCTTGCAGTTAAGCAGCCCAGTGCTTATCCCCACACTTTCAAGGGCCCTTTGTCATATTTGAGTTATATGAATATTTCCTAATTTCATCAAATAAGGCATTTTCTATTTCTTGTTTTTTCAGAAAGGAAAGGACAGGAACGTCTTTTTTCTTCTAACAAAGTATAAGACATTTTTATGAAATAAAAAAATGAATTCATTAAAATTAATTTTTAAAATATTTTGTGACTGATAAGAGTCAGAATTGACATATGGCAATAGGTTGTTTTTAAAGTTTTATTGGCATGTGCTTTACTTATCTTAGTATTAAATATCTTACAATCAATGGTTCAAATATTAGGATTTGTGCAATCATCACCACAATTTCAGAACATTTTCTTGTACTTGTTAGCCCCCCATTTCCCATCATCTTCCTCTGCCATGCCCCATAGGCAGTTATCAGTCCAGTTATTTTCTTTATAGATCTAGCTATCTTGGGTTTCATTATAGAAAATCTTAGAAAACACAAACAGGAAGCAAACAAACCCCCTAAACAACGACTAGACAACACATACAAAACTTCAATTATAAAAATAAGAGGCAGTATTAAAAACAAACAACTTTAAAAGATCAAATTATTTAACCTCTCTCTGATAGCGAAGCTATTAACATCCCTCCACTGTAGTCATAGGATTCACTGAGGCATAATCTCTGGGTGACCCTTGCAATGGATTTTGGGTTTCCATTGTCATCCATAACCTTCTCCAAACCAGATGTTCACAATTTAATATCTGATACCTCCTTTGAATTGGATTTTATTATTTAAAGTCCTTGGATCACACAGGCTAGCGTGTTCATCCATGTGGTCGTAGTTGAGCCTTAGATGGCTGCCTGTTTTCAGACAAACCTTTAAGACTGTATTCTTTCTGACAGCTGGGTACCACCATCTAGTTTGTTCATCACACTTTGCTCTAGCACTCTCTTCAGTGATTTCTTTATGAGAGTGAGCATTGTGTAGGACCAAGTCATAAGAACTAATTGTTCTCAGATTGGGGCTTACCCCAGTCTAGCTCCCAATTAAGTGGAAGCTCAAATCCATTCATAAGTCTACGGTTTATATATGTCTCTGGTTCACTTTAGAGATATGATAGAGAGCCTTATAAAGTATCCCCTGAGGCATATGGTAATTCTGTTGATAGTGTAATTTTTCTAATGATGGAATTTAAAATACTGTTGAGAAAGTTGTTTTTTTTTTAACAGCATTTTATTCTTATAACCATTTTATCAGATTGACAGGTAACAATATTTTTTCTCTTTGTTGTAGCAGACCAAGTTAGAGGTCATACAATGAACTACTCAATGGCAGAGAATACTACTGATTGGCAATTCTTTGTTCAATACCCAAGTGCAATCTATTTCCTGATTTGGTTTGTAGTCACCAGTAGTTGTGAAAT